ACTTGCTTTTGAATTACTGTCTAGCAGTGCTGCTATACTGGGATATGTATTTTAGTGAAATCTTCCACAAAGCCCACGCTTTCTGCTCTGTAGCTACTAACAGTGGCAAGTATTCAGCATAAGCTACTTCTTTGCTGGTTGCTTTAAAAACAAAAGTAAATCTCAAGGAAAGATTTCTGAGTCAAAGTTATATGTGAATTATGCTGTATGCTGCTCAGAACTGCACATAGATGCAGAGGGTTTGTGTCTCAGAGGTCCGTGAGTTGCGCTGTAAAACACAGCCAGTGCACATCCAGATGGTGACGTTCACTGCTCTCTTTGTGCAAGTTAGATACACTTTGGCTCCAGAACTGTGTGTTGACAGAGTGGATTCTGGCCTCTGGATCCCAGAGGTCTGTTTCATGATCCTCTTCCATGGGTCTCTGGTCATTTGTCCTGAGCCTCCTTGCAGTGTGTGCGAAAGCACCTCTGTAGTGCAGAGCTGTGATGGGGATTCCTTCCATTAATGACTGTGCAGATGGCAGCTGGTGTTGCTGTGATGTCTGCATGTTTGCTGGCTTCCTCCTGTGGTTAGAGCTGCTCTCTATTTCCAGAATGTATGGCCTTGCTCTGCTCACCCTCTCTGAATGGCTGCCCCCCCCTAAAGCAGAAAAGTAGCAAGGTGAAAGCTCACAACTGGAAAGAGAAGTCCTAATTAGCCACAAATATTTATTTATTTTAGCTGGAGGAAAGAGGTAATTTGTTTGCAGCTGTCTTTAGTAGATAATATTGGGAAGTAAATGTTCGATATTAAGAATAAAATACATCTGCTCCTGTTCATTAGTCTGAACACATCACACAGATGCGAACACAACACCTTTTTCAAAAGTTCACAGTGTAACTTTCCCAGATATATAAATGTTATCCTCTCACTAGAAGTCAGGGACACTGCCATTTAGGTTCATTAACTACTGCAGCTGTTTCTGGTGATAGCATTTAGTATGCATCTCTAAATGTGAACCCTCCTTTAATATTCCTTCTGGTTGTGGGAGTGCTAGATGTTTCGTGCTAGGAAGTAGATGAGAAGCTAGGGAAATAAAAGGTGGAAGTAAGTTAAGTTCAAGAGAACTGATGGAAGCTCTTTAAGACGCTAGTGTCTCCTGATAAAAACCATTGGGTCATTGAGTGATGTTGGCTGCATGCAGACTGAAGCTGAAGCACTGTGTTCTAATGAAAAATAGCTTGGAAGACTGAGATCAACATGTTTTAGAAATGATATGGCAGGCTGAAGAGAAAACAAGTCAATGTGAGCTTTGTTTAGTTTTGCCTCCAGACTTATTGGCTCACAATTAAAGTAAAATTTTGTGGGCTTGATTTTGCTCTTATTTATGGGAGTCAATTTGTGCTGTTTCAAGGGAGAATGGTCATGCAGAGATGGGAGGGTATTTCTTACCCTGACACCTTTAAAATTTCTGGCTGCTTTTTCTTTGTCAGAGAATACGTAAACTAAGGAGGCAGTTTTCAGTAACAGAGGCCCTTCAGCAGTGTAAAGAAAGAACAGAGCAGTGCAAGTTGGTGGCTCGTGACCTGAAACCTGGCTTCAGTTACCTGTGGTCATAGCAAAGCCACTGATACTGAGCTTACCTTTATTCTCCATTTGAAAATGGAGATAAGTATGCTGCACCTCATGACTCTCATGGGGATACTAATGGTAGGTCCCTAGGTGAGAAAGAAGTCTCACTACAGGATCTCACCCAGAACTGTTTGAAAGTAATAAATGCAAAGGCTGAATTTACTTTGTGATGTTATGCCAGTTCCTTTCAGCTAAACTGTTTCATGCTTTTCTTCCCCATAGAGAGGGATACATGCACTCATGGCTGATTTTTTTTTATTATTATTTTTTTAGTTTTTCTTAGCTTTTTTTGAATTTGCACTAAGCTACACCTTCACTGAACACAACTGAATGCTTTTGTCTCTGCTCCTCCTTTCAAAGTATAACTAATGGCTTAACTGGCTAAGGGAATTATCTTTTGGACTTACATTGGTTACTTAGAGGTATCTCCAAAGGCATGTAGTTAAATTTAAATTCTTTACGCAATACTTTAAATGCCTGCAAGGGGAATAAAAAGCAGTTCTATTATAGTGATGGGATACACACCCTGTGTGTGTGTCTCAAAGCATGTAATTTGCTCCAGATAAAGTGTTGTGCAGAACAACCAGAAATACAGCAGTACAACCAAAGCACCTGCCTCCTTTTTTCTTACTTGGCTGGAGACAGGTCTGTGCTCCCAGCCATGAAGGAGGGAAGTTCTGCTTCCTGGGGAGGAGAAGTGGGCAGTCTGGAGAGCAAAGCTTGCCTTAGGGTAGTGCTGCAGGGCTGTCCTAGTAATGAACATAAAGATCTGAGACAAGTGTTGGAGCCTGGCTCAAGTGATTTCTTTGTTTGAATTTGGATTATTACATTGATGATATCCTTGTGATATCTTTATATAAAGATAACTTCAAAGAAATTTGCACCACCTCTGCCTAAAAGAAAATGTTTCATTTTTCTGGTAAGATGAATTCTGCTGGCTGATGCTATAATGACTATTAGTACTCCTAGCTCCCATTAACCTTTTCATATTGTACTGGTGTCCCAAGAGAAATCAAGAATCTGTCAGAGCACTGCACTGTAATGGGCTGTGGATTAAAAGTAATGATTCACTTGCAGGATACTGTCTTTGCTGGAATGTAAACCAACACGCAATCTCCAAAGCAAGTCTCAGAGTGCTTTGAAAAAATAAATGCGTCTTCCTCTACTTTGTGCTCATAACCTGCCCTTCAGCAGCCACTTGGTGCCAGCACATGCAGCATAAAGTAATTTTATAAACTTCCTGTCAGTATTAAATCAGAACCTTTTCATCCTGCCTGTAAATCGGTATCAGCCTCCCTCCCTCTTACTTTGACAGCATTACTGCTCAGCCTCTGCCTTGTCACTTCCACCTTAGGTGCCCAAGTGCAGTATAAAGCTCTCTTGGTTTGTGCTAGCAACTGAGTTTTCTGTGCTTGTGAAAGAGTGAGGTGAAATGAGGCACTGAGAAATGGCACTCTTCAAGCTTCCAGTTTGAAACAGAACTACTTCTGATGGCATTAATCATAACACTAATATGAAATTGCTCTCTTTCCCCTCCCTTATCTTTCCTTTGGACTGTGGTTCATCAAGCAATTTTTACTGTTTCCTTTCTGAAGAGACATTAAAATGTGAAAAGTATGCAAGATTCATCTTCCGTTATAATATCATAACAACTGTGACCGCAAGTGCTAGTGCCTGCTTCTTGAAATTTCCCAAGCCTGAAAATCCTCATTGGTAAGGCTATTGCTCTTCAGTGCTTCTCCAATAGGGTTTTAAAATATTCTGCAATGTTTTTTTTTTTCTTAAGAGAAAACAGTTTAACTGGGATACAGGCTGTCATGGACCTTCCTGTATCATGTGAAAGCGGCTCTAATCTGACCACTGTGCTCTGATTTTTTTTTTTGATATGTCGAAGGACCTTTTCCTTTAGTGGCCATCTGGCATATGGCAAAAGCAAACTTTACTTTAATCCTTGGAATTTTTGTGTGTGTGCATATGTTCTTGTGATGCTATGTTACGTATATCTCAGAAATATTATTGGTAGCACAATTATGTACAGTGCTTTTGGGCAGGAGATGACACGTGGTGGAGGACTGCACTAATACAGCAAACTGTCAATTCTTTTATTTAAAACAAGTAACTTGAAGCTCTTTGTCTTTTTGTAGTCCAGCACCACACTCTTCACAGCAGCTGTGAGAGGCCATGCTTCTAAAAGTAACTACTTTTGTGCTAACTTTTTATCCTCTAAGACTTTCACCTTGTTTCTTTGTTCTTGTTTTTACTATTCTCAGAAACAAACAAAAAATCCATGTAGATGCTATTTAATATTATAACCAGTCTTAAACTCTTCAGTCCCTCAGAATTCCCTTGCCAAGTTAATTATTTCATATACCTAGTGATTGTTTTATCTTGTCTCTGCTTCCCTTTTACAGCTATGTTGGCAGTTTTGAGTAATTGATACAGTGGTCAGTGGCCAAGGAAAGTCTGCTTGCTTATTTTGAATAAATATGTCTAGGCTGACTTGCACATCTGAATTTCATACAGAGGCCAGAAGGTTTACTGAACTCATGCTTCTTTGGGTAGTGTTTTGCAGCCCTGCCTGCAGGCTCTTGATCCTTGGAAGTATAGTTTACATTGAAGCGGCTCTTGGTTTTGTTTGTTTACTTGTTTTTCTTTAAGAAGAAAACAGAGCAATAACTTTGGAGAACAAAAGGTGACTTTTGAAGCCAGAATACAATCATACAATCACAGTGACCAGCTGCCTCACATCTCCTTGATGCTGATGTTCTGTCAGCTGCCCACCCTGAAGCTGAGCATATCTTTGGGACGAAACAAAGCCCATCTTCTTCCAATAGGGAATAGTCCTCATCATAGCCTTCTGTCCTCTTCTCCTGCCACCTCCTCTGCAGGAAGATGCTGTGAATAAAGTGGGATTTCAAACCAGCCAATGGTCCTCAGCTTGTAGGAATGGAAATGTGCAGCAAGCAAGAGTTGGTGTGCTTTAATCATCTGACTTGTTGTTATTGTGCTGTTTTGCATTAATATATAGCTTTTAAAATCCCTTTTCAAGAGCTTAGGTCATGGAAGTGCTGAGGTCTGACACAGCAGCCAATGTATCTCCAGAACAAAAAAACCAAATTCAGAATATATCCCTATGTTGATTCATTCCCATCTTTTCCTTCTGAAGAAATGTGAGGTTGCAGATGTAGTCTGTGCTTCTGAAGTTACTTTGGTTTACAGGCTGCTGAGCACTTTGTTCTTTAACCAAAGCACGCACCACCTCATGAGGTATTCCACCATTTTGTTACACTTTGAAAGCATGATTTTGAGACCAACTCCAGAATTTCACTCTATGGATAAGATCCATAATTTGAAGCACATTTATTTTGATTGTTTTCTTTCATTCCAGGTGTTTACAGCTCTGTGCTAAGGACGGATTGGAATTACCTTGTGCCAGCAGCGGCACTGGGGAGCAGCGTGCTACATCCTGGTAAGATGCTTTAGTGGTTGAAGGAGGGGGAATGACTGCTTTCTCCTAATATGTTTTTTGGTCATGTAAAAAACAGGCTTTATTAAAAAACCAAATCTTTTTTGTGGTTTAAATGTGAATGTTATTTAATACTAGAACAGCAACTAATAGTGTTAAATACTTGCACATGGTAACCATAAATGTTCTGATGCTGGGAGTCACCATCTGTAACTTTTCCAACCTGACTTATTTTTTTTTCTACTGAAGGTAATCAGTGTGACTTGCATTCCCTTCTAGCTGTATGTTCATATCTTTTATGTTCATTCAGGATTTGTTGATATTGCTATTTTCACCTCTTCACTTTGCATTCAAATCAACACAGAGTAAAATTCTGTAATTAGGAGAGTTTTTCAGGAATCTGCTCTTGGCAAATAGACTGGCAAATCATTAATAATTTTGTTGCAAAACTCCTCTAGGCCCACTCACTCCATGAAGTTATGCAAATATTTACTTGCTTAATCAAATCTTGCAAACATTTTAGTTTTAACTAGAGGTTTTATTCCTAACTTTGTCTGTTGGCAACTCTCTTATGCTCAGTTGAACTGTGGCTCCAACCGTGGAAAAGGTTAATCTTGCAGCATGTATTTCAGACCCCTCCAAAGAGGGAAAGTGCTCTGTTCTTGCATCCAAGATTCTTTTCCTCCTTCTTCATGAATTTGAAAGCCAGAGGTTATCTTTGTTTGGCTGAACAATACCTCATCTTTGGCTGTGGGTGAGACTGCATGCAGGACAGAACAACAAGGTACTTTGTGTAAGCTGTTCAAAGGTAGAAGAGATGAAAACTATTTCCAATAGCTTGAAAAGAATGATGGTGAACTTCCTCCATGATATGTGATAAGCAAAGCATACATACTTCAGAACAAATGTCTTAATTTGTTCCCAGATCCACAGATTCCAGCATGATATTTATGGATGAAATGGAATGGGAGTACAAATTAGTAAAGATATTAAATAAGGTATAGGAAACAAAAGACACATAATTAAAAAAAAAAATCTATCCTCTGAGCTCAGAATAGATGAAAAAAGTTGGGAAGAAGTACCATCTCTTGTCTTTTTAAAAAATGTATTATTACAGGCACAACAACTTTGCAACTCCTTCATTAGTCTAGCAGAAATTTGGTATCATATTGCCAGTCTAAACCATGCTTGGTGTTATGGAAAGCCAAGAATTCCAAGTGTGCATTGCAGCTCTGTGGGAGCCAGGAGGGGCTTGCTGCAGCATGGGGTGGGACTGCTGTCTTTCTGAGGTGGTGTGGTGACTTTGTAGGTGGTCAGATGCTATTGCTAAATAACATGTTAGACCAATGTGCAACTTTTTCTAAATTGTTTAAAGGCTGCTTTTATTACTTGTAAAGCTTAATAGATGCATTTATGCCATTAAAGGCACTGTATCTGTGCATTGCTGAAACAGATTTTACTAACCTATTTCAAAGTGAAGAGGACTAGAGCTTTATCAGTTTCTAGATATCTGACTAATAGTTCAAATAATACTGATAGAACCTTTAAAAAATTTCTCATTACCCAATAGCTGCTCCTTATCACGTGTCTGAGTCACCAACGAAGTTTGAATTCCTTTTGGCTGTGCTCACATCTGTGGCTTTTGGCACTCAGAATGCAATTAGCTTTGTTCACATGCTTCCATCTCATTAGCAGGATTGTGGAGTGCATTAAAGAGGGCCCATTTACACCTTTTTGTGCCTGCACGTGTACACTTTCTAGATAGTAGAGCTTGAAATGTGATCCCGGTGTGACCTGTATCTGCTCTGGATACAATGTGGAGGGAGAAAAGGACTTCTGCTTTCCCAGAAAGGGATGGGTGTGTGCAAGCTCAGTTGTGCTTAACGTGACAGCAACAAGTCTGAACTTTAGCTATGACTTTTGAAACCATTTCAAACTCGGTGTTTCCTTGAAAACCCTGATCCCACGTCTAATCTATGTGTATGTTTTTAGATGTACATAATGAGCAACTCACTGTTCCCTTCATCCATCTTGCAGCATGTGCATGCCGCTTCAATAGATTAAAAGAAAATCAGGCTTCGGTTAGGAAATCAGGGCATTTTCTCCAACCATGTGGCTTCTGGTTCTGCAAATCAAACCAGCTGGGTGATTTTCATGTTTTTTTTTTTTCTGAACCTTATGTTGCTGGAACAGGAAATAAGAGACAAAAGGTTTAAATTTACCCTGAGATTAGTGAAGTCGGTGTTTTCTGAAGAAAAACACGACCACGGCACGTTAGAAACATCACGGAATGAGATGATAGCGTCTCATTTTGGCAAAGGCGCTAGATTCCATTTGTGTACTTTTTTTCCTCCTTGTGCCTAACGCCCAGCTGCATCGCATCGGTGCGGGTGAGGGAGCAGCTAATGCAACATCCGCGCAGCCCGCCTCCTCTATGGGGCAGCACTCGGGCCCCTGAAGCGCTCCTTCTGTAAGACGTTGCAAAAGTAAAAGCCCTCGCAGGGAGTTCCACGTCCGAGCTCACGGTGCTGCCCGCCCGGGGGCGATCCCCGCCTTGCGGCCGCAGTTCTCCAGGCGCCGGGCCGAGCACACCGCGGTCACCGCCCGCTGGAGGCGGCCGTGGCTCTCCGCCCGCCCGAGGCGGTCCCTGGCCCGGCCCCCGGGTGGAGCAGGCGGCGGTGGGGCCGGAGCTCGCTTCTTTTTCTGCGTCTCACTCGGCGCTCTGTGCGGCAGCTCGACGGACGCTCGCGGTGAGGGGCTCGCAGCCGCTGTGCGGGCCGGGCGGGGTGCGGGCGGAGGTCGGGCGCTCACTGTCGCGTCTCTCTTTGCAGACTCGGACTCGGCTCTAGCCCCGACCCGGCGAACTGCGGAGATGGCGAAGGTGAGGCGGGAGGCGTCGCGGAACGGCCGCCCCTCAGCGGGCTCCCCTGCCTGGCCGCGGGCACGGCGCTCCTGCAGTTTCTGGTTTCTTTCTGGTCTTCCTTAAATCGGCCCGTCCCCGAGCCTGGCGGGGGATGTGGAGAGAAGGAGGAGGACGGGGAAAGTGGCCGATCATGTGAGGAACACGTCATGCGCAGCTCACTCTTTTTTTCCGTCAGTTTCCACTAATTTGGCCAACTTTTCTGGGCCGCGGGTTTATGTAGCGCCTGGGCGGAGGCGCTTTCCGCTGGAGGAGGGAGGAGAAAAATCCCGGGGCTTTGGGCGTCCCTTATTCGCTCTGTTCTTCTGCAAGCTTTGCGGTCGCGAGTACGGCTCTGCATCGGCTCTGCATCAGCTCTGCCTTCCTTGAACCTGTGCTTGAGCCTGGAGCGGGGCTTGGGATGCGAGTCAGCCGCATCGCTTGTCTATACCCCCGTGCTCTGAGCAGCAAAATAGAAACTTAGTTGCTTATCTTTGGGCTTTGTACGGCTGTGGAAAGTGTAAGGCGCTTCCCAAAGGTCGCGCTGACTGCGGTGCTGTACCGTAGCTCCGTGGCGGTTGGACTGAATGCTCCGCGAGGTCCCTTCTGACAGAGCTGTTCCATTCCTAAGCAGTAACGTTTTAGCTAGGACGAAGTTAGGATTAGTTTAGGACAGAGTTTTGCCCCCAGCACAAAAAAGACAGGAACTGTTGGAGAGTCCAGAGGAGGGCCACAAGGATGATCAGGGGACTGGAGCACCTCCCCTATGAGGACAGGCTGAGGGAGCTGGGCTTGTTCAGCCTGGAGAAAAGAAGGCTGTGGGGTGACCTCATTGCAGCCTTTCAGTACCTAAAGGGAGCCTACAAACAGGAGGGGAATCAACTCTTTGGAAGGGTTGATAACTGCAGGACGAGGGGAAACTGTTTTAAGTTGAGGGAGGGAAGATTCTTTACAGAGAGAGTGGTGAGGTACTGGAACAGGCTGCCCAAAGAAGTTGTGGATGCCCTGTCCCTGGTGGTGTTCAAGGACGGATTAGATGGGGCCCTGGGCAGCCTGGTCTAGCATTAGGTGGGAAGGTTGGTGGCCCTGCATTTGGCAGGGGGGTTGGAGATTCATGATCCTTGAGGTCCCTTCCAACCCTGGCCATTCTGTGATTCTGTGAGTTTTGAATTTCATGAATAATAGCTCATAGGAGCATCATTAAATGAAAGTGAGCTGAGTCAGTTATTTATTATTCATAAAATGATTTGACTTATGTTTGGGATTAGGTGCTCTCAGATGAGCGTTGAGCTGAGTTGATAGAAAGGCTGGCACCTGTGCACAGACACTGAAATGTGTATTTGTGCTCTGATTTGTCTCACCTTTTGAAAGGTTGTTGCATTTAGAGAAGGGAATTTCATAATTTATTTGTTACTTTGCAGCCAGTGCATGAACTGAATATATGGTGATGAGGATTGCTGGCATTTGATTAAATGCTTAATGTATGAATAGACATCTAAGAACTGCTTGATAACACTGGGAAAGAAGATTCAGAGATAACTTCCTCTTAGTGAAAGCATGCAAATTTGCAATTCATTTGTAGTCTGTTCCACCAAGGTGTTAATTCTTGATCTTTGTTGAAGCCCTTGGAGCTCACTGTCTACATGGTGTTCGAGTGGTGTCTGGATGACGTTCTGCAAAATATGGTTTCGAAGCTCAGAGGTAGAAATGGTGATAGGAGGACTGTTGGACCAGATGATCTTATAGGTCCTTTCCAACCCTGTGATTCTATGATTCTATCAAGTCTTGTATCAGGGAGGTCTTGCCCTCCAGTTCCCACATTCAGATGGCTGCTTCCCCCTGACTTCTGTGACACTCTGCCTGTGAGGTGATGCAGCCAAAAAAGAAAGAAAGAGTGTTAAGCTTTGCAGCCTGTCATTCCTTTAAAAAACAAGCAAACAAAATATGCTCTGATCCTCATGGCAGATATCTGTTTTTAAATTTGTTGCACCATGGAGTAATGGCTAAGAAATGAAAATAGGCATTAATTAATAACAGAATGTAGATCAATTATCAGTACTTATTTATATGTGAAACCAAAGGTTCAGCATTCGAAAAGGCTGCACGGCACAGTGCACTGAAGTCCCGTGTAGTCTGGATATATCAATGAAGAACAAAACCTGAAGAAGGTGAGCTGTCTTTGGAGTCTCTGCCACTGCAGTACTTGTTCTAGCTCAGGAATGGCAACAGCTTTTTTGGTTTTTTTTTTTCCATGTTGTTGAGGGGTTTTCCATGCTCTGTGTCCAGGAGAAAAAGGCTAATTCATCTTGTGGAAAGCTGAAGCGTGCCATATTGTGCTGTACAGACTGGTCTCTCCATGCCTGTATTTTTTCCCTTTCTCTGGAGAAATAGTGCAGTCCTAAGACACAGTTCTTTTCTTACACATCTATATGCGTAGTGGTCTTTGTTTATGCGTCGGCATGTATGAGGCAGTCCCTTCCTGCTTGATAAACTGCCTTGGAAGTACTACTTTGTGCTTGCTTATTGAGAAATCTTGTAAGAAGGCAACAAGAATATTTTCTGTTTGCATGTTGTGGACCGGTCTGTTTTGGCCTGTAACTCCCCAGCTTTTTCTGGAGGCCATTTTGCATCTCCATTTGTAAATTGCCAGGAAGGGACTGCTTGCAGTTGGTGCAGCTATAGCTGCTGTGTGCTGTACAGTGGTTCCTGTTCTGCCAACCTGTGCGTGACTTGGTCTAGCGGTTGGTGACCCTGCACATAGCAGGGGAGTTGAAACTAGATGATCATTGTGGTCCTTTCCAACCTGGGCCATTCTATGATAGTTGTACTTGATCTCAGAGGTCTTTTCCAACCTTAACGATTCAATAACTTAGAGCACAAGAGTAGTATCACTAACTTCAGTGTTGCTTTAGAGGATTGTTTCTCACATTCCAAACTGCAAACGCTTTTCCAAGGCTGGATTCTGAGCAGCTTGTTGGCTTTGCTAGGGTTCTTTGCGAGGACGAGTTCTCTGACTGTTTCTGCACATGTCCCTGCACTAGTTCCCATGTTGCTGTTGGTTGATCTTATCTTTTCCCTCTCTCTTTTCTGCTGTCTCTACCCTCTCTCCCCATCCTCAGTCCGTTTTCTGTCTTCCCTGTCCTCGATACCTCTGTGGTATGCTGACTCAGATTTCAACACAGAAGTTGAGTAATTCCCTTTTGTTCTCTGAAGTTTAAATATAGTAGGACAGTTGTGAATGTAGTCTCCTCCCCAGAGCTTATTCCTTCCATTCAAGTGGATGATCTGAAGCATTAATAAACTTAGAGAAGTGTTTTATAGAAGCGACTCGGTTGCGGACTGATAATAGCTGTGTGCCTGTACACATCCACTCATGGCATTGTTTCTGTCCTTACTGCCATTGAAATTTTGGTAGGCACGTATAATCTTATTCTTATGTGGCTTTCAAATATGGTTTAACAGGTATCTATGTCTGGTCTTCAGTAAGCCCAAAGGCTTTCAGTTGGGCACTCCTTTGTGCTTTGTCTGCAAGATGGGTATATTTATGTGAAAAAAATCTCAAGTTAGTCTTTCTTTTATTCAAACACATGACATTCTGGGCTCATTTTGGTGTCCTGAAATAGCATGTCCTTTTTGTTTGTTTGGAAGACATTCTCCATTTCCATTCTCACCACTTCACAGTTCTGTGCTACCTTGTAAACAAATGGAGGGATACAATAAAAATGCTGCTGCATACCACCTCCTGGTGGAGGACTGGAGCACCTCCCCTATGAGGACAGGCTGAAAGAGCTGGGCTTGTTCAGCCTGGAGAAAAGAAGGCTGCAGGATGACCTCATTGCAGCCTTTCAGTACCTAAAGGGAGCCTACAAACAGGAGGGGAATCAACTCTTTGAAAGGGTGAGTGACAGCAGGACAAGGGGAAATGGTTTTAAGCTGACGGAAGGGAGATTTAGGTTGGACGTCAGGGGGAAGTTCTTTATGGAGAGTGGTGAGGTGCTGGAACAGGCTGCCCAGGGAGGTTGTGGATGCCCCGTCCCTGGAGGTGTTCAAGGCCAGATTGGATGGGGCCCTGGGAAGTCTGGTCTAGCATTAGGTGGAATGGTTGGTGGCCCTGCGTGTGGCAGGGGGGTTGGAGATTCATGATCCTTGAGGTCCCTTCCAACCCTGGCAATTCTGTGATTCTCTTACTACGTGCTGGGCTTTCCAGTAGGAAACTGGTGAGCATCTACTTCTGTAGCTGCTGTGACATTGTGAAAGGGGGTTAGCTCTTCATGTGTGGGAAACATGGCTATGAGTGGGTATGGGGCAGAAATAGCTGGAAATAAATCTGGATCTGTTCAAGTATGGTTTTTTTGTTTGCTGATAATGACTACTTTTTATTGAATAGTAGGTAAGTGTTGTGAATGGGAAATTGTGTGCTTGGTTGGAAAAAATAAAGGGAACCTCATTAGGTGGCTATTGTTGATGTTACAGATAATGCTGTTACCTGGATATGTGGCCACATGGTGCCAAATTGTGAAATAAAGTTGTCTGTTGGGAGAAATAAAAATAGCTCTGAGGTGCTGCTCAGGAACAATTTGCCTGATGAGTTTGTAACTTGTCCTTCTGCAAACTTCTGCTAGAGCATAGTAAACAAAGATATGAAGAAACATGGATTTCCTTGCTGAAGGGACGTGAGCTAGATCTTCTCTTTCTTGAGTCTTTTGTTTTCTTTCCATCTCTACCGTTTCTTTTCATGCCAACTTTGTGTATCTAGAAGCTTCACCAGTCCTGTTGGCAAGTGTCTTGTGAAAATGGAGGCTGCTCTTCATTTCTAGTGTACCATCTCAAATTGTCTTCTTGCTACCCACGATTGCTTAACAGTCAGCATGGTGGGGCATGAAGAAAGAAAAACGTGTGGTTAGGCTTTGGGTGTTACAATCCTTCAGTATTCTTTCTGTCAAGGTCTTGCCTATTGTTTTCCCCTTTGTTTTACTGCCCTCTGTGTAGAATGCTGATTTTTACTAAGTGATCCAGATTACAGGTGGATTTATATACAAGTTGATTTGTGTTTTTCTTTCCATTGTTCTTTGGGTGGAGAGAGGAACTGCCCTGAAAGAGGAAATTACTGACCACAACAATAGTGTCCTATGAGGCTGTAGTGTTACAGTGCATCTAATTTGCACAAACAGCAAGCTGCTTGAAGATACTATAAGTATGATAAGTTATTTATCTGTGTAAAAAGTTATGAAGTTTGTAAATAAATCTGTTGTTGTCTTTCAGTTCACTACTTTTCGTGCTATGCCACTAAAGATGGCATAGCAGTTGTGAAGCTGTGATCCATCTGCAAAAAGGAGTCTGTTTTTGATAAAGATGAAACTAAACGTTAACACTCACTTGGATGTCTGACAAATGTCTGCTCTCTGTCAGAAACTCTCTTGTATCAATCTGTTATTTTGTCGGAAACATCTGGTTCATAGCTCCTGCTGCTGATTCTCCAGGGCTGCAAGTTGACTTCACTGGTTCAGACAGTGATGATAGTTGTGAACTGGTGCTTACTTTCTCTTTCTGTGACCCAAAAGTGCTGCATTTGGGAAAGAAGATGCAGCTTTTCCCTCCCTGGGCTCAGTTTCTTGTCACTGCTGATCTTTCTGCCCCTGCCCATTGATTTTTGCAAATAAGAAGCTGAGACCAGGATAACTGATAAGGGCACTCCTTGGACAGTGGAGCATTTTGGATGGATTTGCAGTTATTAAACATAACATGAGATATGCTGCTGTACCTTGACTGCTGAGTCATGCATTGCTCTAAAAAGCTAGATGAGTGGTTTCTTGACAGGCAGGTTGGCTCAACACTTTCTCAGTGCTGGGGCATGTATTGTCAGCTCATAGGTGGAATTTGAAGGTGCTTTTAGAACTCAGGTCTGACTAGGACCCATAAAGCTATGTTCAAGGTTGTCTTATGTGAACAGTCCCTGCTGGTGCTTGTGCTCGATGTGCACGGATGGACAGTATTAAGGTCAGCACATGTAACTGAAGGTTCTGCCACTACAGATGCTGTGTCTGTGGTGCCCAACTGATGAACATTTCTGTTGTCCTGAATGGCAAAGCTGCAGCAGGATTTCTGATCCTCAAGTTAAGTGCCTCTCAAGTATTGCTTAAGGGTGATAGTGTAGCCAAAATGCAGTAAATAATGTGTGCTTGAAGAAAGCGTGTGGAATGTAAATGACATCCAGGCATCGAGATAACATTTATATTACAGCAGCACTAACAACTGTTCATCAGATTTTGTGTATAGTGAGGTTTTCCCCAGTGTGTTTTGAAAGAGAATTATGGAAGATTGCTTGGTTAATAAAAACAAGAAGGGTTGCGCAGTGTGATTTGTAATCTAGTGTTTAGTATTTGCACAGACTTTCTCTAGAAGAGCCAAAGAGAAATGCTGAGCCATTGTTGCAAGTCTTAGGAATCACTTAGGGAAATGCTACTTGCTTATAACAAGATAAGCCAAGGAAAACTTTAACATAATAACCATTTTATCTGAGATAGATTGACCTGACAGGGATTTCCAAAGGAGGATCATGGCAGTTGTATAATATAGGCTTTATAAGGTGATATGAGGCAAAGCAGCAGGAAATACTCTTTTGAATAACTCCATGTTGGTTGGTATAGTAATAATGAAGGAGGAGGAAAATTATACACTTTCAATCTTTGTCTGTTCTAGCAGATTAAATTCAATTTTATGAAATTGACACCTAAATCCTTGGGATTTCTTCATGAAAATTTTTGGAGTTATCTAGGAAAAAGACAGTAAGTACAGACTGATGCACCTAAATTTGAAATACCACCTAAAAACATGCTTGTAATGTTCTTGTTGTAACATTTGTTGTTGTTGTAATGCTGAAAAAGAGAACACTTCAGGGGAATTGACATTTCTTTGATGTAGGCTGGCTGCTGGAAAACATTTACTGGAAAGAAGTTTGCTGTTGCTATCAAACACGGTAATGCTTTGTGTTCTGAATTTCTGATCTAGAGTGGGGTATTCCCAACCTATTACTGCTTCTGCTCTGGAAGTGCTAAGGTTTCTTTGATAATAACACACAGATGGCCTGAGAGGCAGTATTGCTTCAGGGCAGTTTCTGGTTAGTGCTTTCCAGTTCTTTCTCCGTGCTTTTCTGCTGACCTACTCTAGATGAGTACATTGACGTGAAACCAAAACACTGCGAGGCTGAACTTGCTAACTCAAGGGAAAGGGAAAGACTGTGTCACAGAGGCCAGATGGTTGTTCTGCCCGTGAAATAACCTGGCTTCAATCTTAGTGGGTTTCTTTGCGTTTCCTTTTGTACACTTCCTTGAAAATGGAAAAATGCTCTTCCTATGCTAACTGCTGCTTCAGTATGACTATACCTACAATGAAAGTTTTCTCCTTCTGCTGTTAGAAAGCCTCCCTGTTCCTAAAAGCCATCTGTTTCCCCTTTTGGCTGTTTCTTGACCTCTGTAGTTCTTTAAATTACCTATATATATAGAACACAGTAGATTCTTGAACTGTCACATTTAAATAAAGGCAAGACTTTTCTGTAAGGATGATGAATATCTTTCTGTGTTTGGCCCAAGCACAAACTCCCTGAAGAATCATTTTCCATGGAAACCTAGTGGAGTTATGTTTATGTTTGGATGGACAGATCTTTTATCTTTCATTTGAATTGTTCTTTCCTTTGAATCTGATAAAAAAAAAAAAAGGAGCTTATGCCAAAAGGAACACGATGAAAAAATTGAACGATGTTGCACAGTTTGATGGGTCACATTTGCAGCAGGATGGAAGGAATCAGTATTATACTGACTGAAAGCTCCAGTAGGCTTTGCTTGAGGAAAATAAGTTCTTATTTCCAAATGTGTCTTGGATCTTTGTGCAGCTTTTCTGGCCCACGTAGTCTGTGCAATTTATTTCCCAAACTGTTTTAAGTTATGATAATTTCAGTCATTTTCCTGCATTAAGGCTCCAGTGCAGAACAAATTCTGCAAACTACCTTTATGCAAATAAACCTGAATTTAGTTGGTCTACTGCTGGATGAAAATACGACAGAACCTTTAGCGAGAGCTGCGTTTAAATACCCACAAATTGCTACTTAGACAAATGCATGGAAAATGCTATTTGCTTTTGAGTCTTGGATTCAAATTTAATCTGAGCTCACATGTGGAGAGTTGAAAGACACACTATCTTCTATTTCACGGCTTTTTCCCTTTTTCTCACTCTCTTTTTTTCTCTAGTACACAAGAGGCACTGTGACAGCATTCTCTCCTTTTGATGCCAGAGCTGATGCAGAAGCCCTTCGCAAGGCCATGAAGGGAATGGGTAAGAAGAATTTAATATTTTAGGAAAAGAAAAGGACTCTCACTCCTGCTTTGAAAACATCCTTTCTGAACTCATTTTTTTATACTAGCAGAAAAGGATATGGTGTGTGTCCACATGTTATAAATGACAGCCTCAGAATTGCAGAAATCTGGACATGTCCTAGTTCTGACTGTGCTGCTCTTAATAACATTTATTTTTAGATGAACACAAGGAAAAAAAAATGGCTTGGATAGACCTTATTTAAAAATTAATACTCCACAGTCTTCTCTACATGCAGGATTTTATTGCACAGTAAGTTGGACTATGAATTGAAAGGGTATAACTGTGGAAATTTATTGCAGTGTAGTAGAAGCTCTGTGCTTGGAAAACGTGTGAGTGCTCCCTTGATCTGGAAGTGAGTAAGTGTATTATGGTTGTGATCAAATACAAAGCACGCAGAACGGAGATAAACTAAGGAGTGGTCTATTAACTCAGGTTGTGACTTTGTGCCCCAAATTGTAGTCATGATAACAAATCCTAATTGATACTTTTGAAGCTGTCTGTGGGAATGAGCAGAGAAGGGGAGAATGGAATGCAGTAAACCTCAGGTGTTGACAAATTCAGTACAGCTAGCAAGATGCTGTGCTGTGGGGATCACTATGTAACCTATTGTATATAAAATGGATAATAGCTCCATATTTTCCTACCCTGGGACTTCTAGGGGTACTGGACTGAGTTTTTCTCGGAGTTGACTGAGTGAACAGTCTTAAATATACATTATGTATACAATGTCTTGATACACTCTTAAATTTCTTGGAAAACCTGAAAGCAGGCTCTTCTGTAAGCTACAGCCTGCGTCTAAATGTTTTTTACCTGATAGCTGGAGTGCTGGGTGCACTGTTTGGAACTGGGCTCTGATGGAAAGCAGTAAATAGGAATACTTGGGTCCTCTGCCATATTTTTGCTGTAGGAAAGCACCAGACATGGTGGCTCAGCTAGAGGTCTGGTGACACTTGTTATTTATATGATTATGCTGTTTATCAGTAGATTTTTATTTTCAAAGCATCTTTTATTCCTGTTTGAGTTTGTGCTACTTCTGTGTTTTCTTTTTGTTTGTTTGTTTTCTTTGGAGTTTGTTTATAACCGTTTCTTGGTCTTTCTATCTTCAGGGACTGATGAAGAGACTATTCTGAAGATCCTTACCAGCAGAAATAATGCTCAACGTCAAGAAATTGCATCTGCTTTTAAGACACTATTTGGCAGGGTGAGAAAAAGAAAAAAAACTCTAGAAATTAGCTGTATGTGTCCTTTGATGATTAGTTACAATAGTGAGGCACATTCATCATGGTTTTTGTAAAAGATTCCTTTGAAGAAAATCTAGTTTAGCTTCTGTTTTCCCTTCTTCTTCGTATCCTTAACGGCTAGCTGTTTAGAATACTCAATTTAGATTATTAAAAGAAAGAGATGTTTTTTCTTATGTACACTGTTACAGTATGTCTTATGTTTTAGTGCAAAACCTTGCATAGTTTCCTGTTAGTATGCTTCTAGTACTGATCTTATCCTCAGTATAGAAGGAATTATCAAATATTTTGACTTAATATCTGCCATGTAAAATGACAGCAGAAAGATAGTTTTTTAGAGCTAGAAAATGTGATAGAAACAAAGCAGTCTAATATCTTAGGAGAGGGTGACACCAAATATAGTGGTCAAGAAAGCCATGAAGTTGTTTAAAGGAAAGACAGCTTTCTTCCAGTAGTTAACCATTACTTAAAATAATTAGTGCAGTTAGTCAGTAGTGTTTAAAGAATTTAAATGTTAAATAACATAAAAATCCCCAAAGCATAATATGATACCCCACAGGATCCTTCTCACCAAATTGGAAAGATACAGGTTTGAAGGGTGGACTGTTTGGTGAACAAAGCACTGGCTGCAAGATTGAGTCCAGAGAGGGGTGGTCAGTGATTTAGTGTCTGGATGGATATCAGTAACGAGTGGTGTCCCCCAGGGGTCAGTGCTGGGACAGATACTCATTTAATGTCTTCATCAATGACATTGACAGTGGCGTCAAGTGCACCCTCAGCAAGTTTGCAGATGACACCAAGCTGTGGGGTGCTGTTGATCCACCTGAGGGATGGGATGCTGTTTAGAGGGACCTAGACAGGCTTGAGCAGTGACCCTTCACGAGGTTCAACAAATCCAAGTGCAAGGTCTTGCTCCTTGGTTCCCTACTGCCAATGGGAGTTGGGAGATGTAAGGATGGAGCACAGCCCTGTTGAAAAGGACCTGGGGGCACTGGTGAGTGGGAGGCTGGATGTGAGCCAGCAGTGTGCCCAGCAGCCCAGGAAGCCATCTATGTCCTTGGGCTGCATCAAAAGAAGTGGCATGGGAGGTGATCCTGCTCTTCTGCTCTGTGCTAGTGAGGCCACACCTTGAGTACTGTGTCCAGATGTGGAGTTCTCAGTACAGGAGAGATATGGACTTGTTGGTGCACGTCCACAGGAGGGCCACAAAAATGATCTGAGGAATGGAACACCTCTCTCCTATAAGGAGTGAGAGAGCTGGGGCTAGGCATTCTGGAGGAGAGAAGCCTCTGAGGTCATCAAAGAGAGGCCTTTCAGTATCTAAAGGGGGACTGTAAAAAAAGAAGTGGACAAGTTCTTTAGCAGGGTCTGTGGTGAGAGAACAAGGGCAAGTGGTTTTAAACTTAAGTAGGGTAAACTTAGGTCGGATATAAGGAAAAAATGTTTTACAGTGAGGGTAGTGGGGCACTGGAACATGTTTCCCAGAGATACGATGGCTACCCCATCCCTGGAGACATTCAAGACCAGGCTGGGCAGGGCTCTGGGCAGCCTGATTGAGCTGTGGATGTCACTGTTCATTGCAGGAGAGTTGGACTAGATGACCTTTAAAGGTCCTTTTCAACACTAAGGATTCTATGATTCAGGTTTGCTAAGTACACAAGCATCTTTTTTTTCCTTTTTATCTGGTTACATTTGTTTAGGTCGTGTGCCAGTTAAAACAAAGAACCCTATCCTGTGTCCTTTTTGATATATCTCCAGAGTCTTCTAACTTGCAGACACATGTGGTGTCCATTTAAAGTCTTTAGTCATTATTCATTATGGTACTTTTGTTCTGCACTAGGATCTTGTGGATGACCTGAAATCAGAACTTACTGGCAAGTTTGAAACATTGATGGTATCTTTGATGAGACCAGCACGTATTTTTGATGCTCATGCACTGAAGCATGCAATCAAGGTAAGAGGGAAAGGACTGAATATGTTTGATAAAATTTTTGTTCATATTTTTCTGTGTATTGGAATGAACAAAGAAAAGGAACATTGGTAAAGGAAAAGCTGATAAAGTTCTTTTTAAATTCTAGGAAGAATTGTAAATAATATGCCGCATTAAAAAAAAATGCACAGTATTGTAATTAAGTGTTGCTTTTCTGAAGTCACTCCTTTTGATGTGTAAACAGCAGTGGTGAGTGGCAAAGCAGACTCAGACATATGATAACAAGATATTACTTTGGCATTTGTAAATTTTATCCTTGTGAAAGTGAGGAGATCCTCTTTTAGCTACATGTAATGAGAGGACAGCAAATATTTGAGGGTCTCAGTTTACAGTTCTGTTGTCAAATGCACTTATTTGTGGTGGAAAAGGGGGAAGGTTTAAACACAGCACAACCTACAGAAGGGTAAAGATCAATGAAGGACAGCATATGAACTACAGGTAAGATGGAAACCATTCAGTTACCTTTATGTCATTGATGGTGACAGTGAGGAACAGAGATGTCTCGGATGGGCTTATCTGAATCCTGCAGCAGTGAGCTTTTTGTAAGTATTGGGTTGGTTTTGCATATAATCATGCCAGAATTGAAATGAAAAGTTTCCACCTCTCTACTCCCAATATATGACAGAATAATAAGAAAAAAATTCTCTGTTTGATCCAAGTGTATAAAGTAATGCTTGCCTTTTGATTGTCAAAGGGAATAGTTATTTTCCTGTTGTTATCAAATCAACTGTTTCTACTTGCACCCTAGGGAGCAGGAACCAATGAGAAAGTGTTGACTGAAATTCTTGCCTCAAGAACACCTGCTGAAGTGCAGAATATTAAACAGGTTTATATGCAAGGTAAAATTCAGTATAAAATAAAGTTCTCCTGGGTTCTCCTATCAGGTCTTTTAATATGATTTTAACACATTTCAAACAAGACCTATGTTTGAATGGAGGTGTGCGTGCAGCAAGTGGAATTTTGTTCTGCTGACCTGGGAAACTTCATATTGCTAGAAACTAGTGTTTGGGCTGTAAACAAAAAATCCTTTTTATTTTGGGCCTATGGCTAAGATATGCAAGGTCTTTTGTGCCTTGTGCTTAGAATTCATTCAGATATATTTCTTTCTTCTAGCCAGAAATTTGTGTTTGGAAATTAGAAACCTGGTATCAGGGTTTTTTAATTATTTTTTCCTTTTTTTTCTTCTTTTCTTTTTTTTTTTTTTACTTATCATTTTGGTAAAATGCATTTATGTTAAAGCAGGTCCAGCTTTTTGGTTGTCCACAAGAGCATGAGTATGTGCATTCGCCCATAAGGCTGTGTTTATTTCAGCACATTATATCTGTCCTGGTTTCCAGCACAGAAGAAATTCTCATGTTTTAATTAAGTGTAGGGTAAAACAGAGTTTTCAAGAACAAAATGTATGGACACAAGATTTTTCTGGGCTTACGCTTGTTAAGTAGACTGCTGTATTTCAGTATAACCCCAGATGTATATGGTCTTCAGTTCCTTGAAGAGCTGGGCCTGTGTGTGTCACCCTTTATTTCAAAATATTTTTGGCAATCTGCTGATAACAGGTGTGAGGTACTATCTTTTTATCTTTTTACAATAATGTTATGTTATAAGGCTGAATATGCCCAGTTGTTAAAGCTGTTTCTGATGGACAATTCCACAAGAGTATTGCTTTTTTTGCAGAATATGAGGCCAACTTGGAAGATAAGATCACAGGAGAGACATCAGGACATTTTCAGAGACTGCTGGTGGTCCTGTTGCAGGTGTGTATCTCTTTGCATGCATGCATGCATGTATGATTTTTTTTCTGTTTTGATGTCTGATGTGTGCTAGTTATTTTCTGCTTACTGACTAGGGTTCATAGGCCAAATGATAGGCAGGATTGGTACTGAAACTGTAGGTTCCTCTGAACCTACAATCTTGAGATCTGCTACAGGCCATTTCTACAACTCTGGCTTGAAAAGCTTCTGTGGTGTTTATGAAATGGATACAGCAGAATGTATCTCTGTTTTTGAAGGTAATAAGGCAAGTAGAAGGGAGAAATAAGTTGGTTTTGAAGAAGGTACATTATGGATTGACTTCTCACAACAACGTTTACAGGCTTAACATAACAGTTTGGTTTTTGATTCAACTATAAGTTTAACAGCTTGTAAAATTTTTCTTTAGGGAAATAGAGATCCTGATGGCAGAGTTGATGAGGCTCTTGTTGAGAAGGATGCTCAGGTGGGTGAATGACTCTTTTGAGGGGAGGAGGGACCATTTCTACCAGTTCTCTTGTAAAGACCCTACACAAATAGAGTTTAAATGTCAGAGATAATTTTTTAGGATTCTGTGTGTGCTGTGTTGTTGTTGTTTTTTAATACATTTTGCTGTGATTTTATGTGTTGTAGGGAAAAGAAGTGAAAAAACTGGAATGTTGGGATCAAAACTTTTGTGTTTCACTGTAAAGTATGACTTGTTTTGGTGATTAAGTCACTAGAAGAGAGAATTATGACTGCTGAATCTTTGTGATGCTGAGACCCCACTGCTGGAAAACTCAGATGTGTTAACAGTTTATTCTTTAATGTTCAATTTGGGCTTTTCTAAATTCAATACTTATGTATCAAGTGTTATGTCCTTGTTACAGGGAAATGGTAATGCTAATCAGCAAAGGATGCCTCCAGGGAGGGTGAAACAATAAAAAGAGAAATTATTCCAACTACCCTGTGCTACTGTAACAAAATGGCAATCCAATATTTTTCCTCTATAGAGTTTCTAGGGACACACCTGTTGCCATTTGTGTGTATGTTCCTTGAATGGATTGCTGATCATTAAATTGTGCTGTAGGCAGGAAGAGGCAGTAAACAATATCCTTGAAGAAGTATTTTTCTAGTTTCTGTTGGCTTTGCTGTAGGTCTGGGCACTATTTCAGCAACTGGAGTACAGAATGAATTTAATGCATGTTTCTTCTCAATAGTTTCTCCGGATTACAGATTTTCTTTCATAAACTGTCAGCTAAGATGGAAGAAAATATATAGATTGTTCAAGATGACAAGGAGGAAAAGCAGCATACCAGATCAGATAAACATTCTTTTGATAGTAGAGCAAGATGCACAGAGACATTGGCAAAATATCTTCTTGGCACTGGCCTATATTTTGTTAAGTAAAATAAGAAAGCATCTTTCTCCTGTTAAAATTTGTATGGGGGCCAACCAGAGCCTGGCAATTAGTGAAGCAAATATTTAAATCACTAAACTGACTCTTTCATGAAACTGTGTCAATTTTATCTTTAGCTGGGTTTATGTAGCTGAAGAAAGTAATGAACCACAGTCCTTGCTAGATAGATGCCTCTTCTTGGCTGTCTAAATTTAATAGGCACCATACCTAAATATAGAAAAATTCCTTCTTTTTTAAAATGTTCTTTGTGGTCTGCTGTGTGCATTTGGCTTGAGCTGGGTCCCATACAGAGTGGTGTTCTGTCACATTTCTCCTAATGATATCTTTGTGTTCAACAACTAACGTAGCTGGAATAGATTCAGAGCATTTTCTAATGATTATTGCCAGGTACAGATGGTCAGAACTGAAGTATGTGACTGCAAATGCAAGGCTCTTTCTGGCTTCCAGATGTTTAATTGATTACTATGACATTTTGGGAGGGATATGAAATATTCGACTGTAACTTTTTAAATTCAGTGGTAATTTTCAGTTATCTCAGACAAAATTAAAAACAAACAAACATAATTTAATTAAAAGTGGTTGGGGGAAGGGCATTTGAGATGGTATGAATATGTAGGGAACTATTAATTTTTTTTTTCTGAGAATCCTTAGAAGAGAAAGTTTAACTTTTTGGAAAATGTTTTGTACTGCTTTTTTAATAATAAACTATGCAGGTGAGGCACATCTTGAGTTTTGTACAGTAGCAAGGCACATGAAAATTAGTAGTGTGGTTGTAAAAGATTATTTAAGACTTTTTTATTGTTTATGAACTGTTGCTTCTGGCAGTGATAAGATCAGTAGGAGTAGTACCTGGCTTATCACCTGCTTTCAGTTTCTTTGTAAACGAGTGGGCATATCCCCAGTTGTTGGACTCTGATCTGATTTAATGGGTATTTGAACCATTATTCAGAGTACTTCTTGGGATAGCTATTAAACTCATTGCTGACTCAACTAAGGGGAAGAAATTTTTTATTTGTGTATCGTGATGGGAGAATGTATTGAGATCCATGACTTGTAATTAAGAAAACATTTATAGGAGTCTGTGAAATCAGGCTTGATGACTGTGCTTCAGCTATAAGACATTATTTCTAGAACTTGACATTTGTAAGTGTCTTTACTCCACGGGAATGTAAGGCAGTCTAGTTGTTAGCAACCATTGGAGCTTACATAAAATGTAATTCACAACTTCTAGTACCTCCAAACAAGTGTATTTTTGGAATTTCAAAATGCTGTAGTGAGACTTCACATTTGCTACTGGATAAAGAGCTTAACATACGTTATTTTGAACTGGATATCCTTGCAGTACTTGAATAGCCCCTTTTTCCCACCCTTTTCCACTCTGTATCACAGTTTAAAAACAGCATTCAGCAGTCACAGATGCACTTTGAATAGGATTGTGGCAGAAAGAGAAATAGGAAATTCATAATGTCACATTCAGATTTTACTATGTGAGCAGATGGTTGGCATACAGTATGGCTAAGGAGCAGATGTGGTTTCTGTGGGTTTTTTTAGGAGGTATTTGATGACCTTAGTACAGGTGGTAACTGTTTGCCCCTCTGAGGAGGGAGGAAAAAGTCTATATACTCTGATATGCAAAACCTTTTTCCTTACATCCAGTTGAGCACACAATTTGGAGAAAGAAGAATTAATTTCTTTTTCTAATTTTTTTCTGATTATTTTTCTTTTTTTCTTCTTCTGTTGCTTATTTGAATTTCTAAAAACATTCTACTTTACCATAGGCTGCTAATAGCATTCAGACATAGCTGAAGAGCAATCACTGTGCTCTAACATAATTAAAACCTGTTATCAATGTAATTTTATATTGGTTAAGAATTTAGCATCTCACAGATACTGTTTCTGAGAGCTTTTGAATCCATTTTGGCCCCTCTGTTTTGGAAGACTCCTGAGCCAAGTGAACATAGTTGTCCCATTGAGATGAGTCACATTATAATGACGTTTTGCCAGTTTGATTTGAAAAAGGGAAGAGATAAAACAATATTAGGAATGGACTTTATCTCTTAGATGATGGCAGTTTCAGAAAACTTGGGGCTTATGAAAGGGACTATGCACACATTCAATTTTAGGGCCTTAAGCAGTATTATTCATGTAAATGCTTTCACAGTCAATTTCAGAATTTATCATTTATTTGCTTCCAAAGTCACGTTAGTATTTTATCTCATCTTTTTCCCTCCAGCTATTGCTCCTTAGATTAAGACAAATGGAACTTTTCAACAAGATGTGTGAACGCATAACAAATTCTGTTGTTTTGTTCTCTTCAATTTACAACAGGTCTTGTTTAGAGCTGGGGAGCTGAAATGGGGTACAGATGAAGAAACATTCATCACCATCTTGGGAACTCGAAGTGTTTCTCATTTAAGGAGGGGTAGGTGATATAGTTCAGGTATGGCTGAAAACTTCTGATTGAAGTCCTGGCATTACCCTGACGATGGTAAAAGTGGTAGTTGTTTCTGGTACTGCATTGGTGAAGTCCAGCAACCTTTATTCACTTCTCCCCTCTTTTTAGCACTTTCGGTTTTGTTTCCTCTAATTTTCTTTCCCCATAGCAAGAAGCAGAGCTGATCTGCTGCTTGAGGGAGTGGTGCAGTAGATCTGAGGGACAGCTGCAGTGCTTCTTCCTGGATGTATGTTTACATTTTCTTTTGAAAGAGGTCATGGCAATAAAGTGATGACAACAGTCTGTTATGAGTCACCATAATCTGAAACGATCAGCCATTTCCTGGGTGCATGTTTTATTAGCTCTTAATAAATAAACAATATTTTTTTTCCTGCTCCTCACCTGTTAATAAGTCTGTTTTACCAAGCTGCTTAGGCTGCTGGAATTAATGACCAGTAAACGTTTCTTTGGTTCTCCAGTCTTTGTTTTCTCTTTATCATGGGATTTTCAAAGCTAATTTTATTTGCAATTTTATTTTTTTAACTGCTGTTGGCAATAAAGTAATCCTAAAGTTTGTTTACCTAACATGATGGGTATGTAATATTTTATAACTACTGATAAGACAGCAGTTTTCTTTGAATGCAGAATAGACTGCCTACAGGGCAGCTTGGATGAAGCTAAGTGGATGTAGCAGCCCAGCATAGAAAAGGTCTCAGATTCAGCATGATGATAACGTTGCCCTGGGAAAAGTGTTTAAGGCTTCCTTCTCATCTTCCCTCTTTCTGCACTCTCAGTGGGTATGTTCACAGAATCCCACTGTAGCTGAGACTGGAAGGGTGTGCTGGAGGTTATCTTGCCTAAACCCATGCTCAAGCAGGGCCATCTGGAGCAGGCTGCCGAGGCCCCTGTCTGGGTGACTTCTGAAGATCTCCAAGGAGACTGAACAGCCTGTGCCAGCACTCCAGCACCTGCACAATGAAAAAGTATTTCCCAGTGTTTAGATGGAACCGCGTGTGTTCTAATTGATCCTACCTGCCTCTAGTCCTATCACTGGGTGCCACTGAGAAGAGCCTGGCTCTATCTTCTGTGCACCTCCCCTCTAGGTATTTATACACATTGATAAAATTCCCTTGAGGCTTCTCTTTTTTTAAGTTGAACAGCTACATCTCTTTCAACCTTTCCTCATAGGAGAGAAGCTCCAACACCTTTAATCACCCAGCATTTCCTTTGCTGGAGTCTCTCCAGTATATCCATGTCTGTCTTGTACTGGAGAGCCCAGAATTGAACACAGTACTTCAGGTATGGCCTGACAAGCCCTGAGGAGAGGGGAAGAATCACCTCCCTCTCTTCTGGCAATACTTGTCCTGATGCAGCCTAGGATACTGTTGTCTTTCTTTGCAGCCAGGGCACACTGCTGACTCATGTTCAACTTGGTCCTTGGTCTATTAGGATCCCTAAGTCCTTTTCCACAAAGCTGCTTTTCTGCTAGGATGTCCTCAGCATGTTCTGGTACACGGCATTGCTCCTCTCAGAATGTAGGAATGTGCTGTATAATAGCAATCCAGTAAGAAATAAGTAATTAAAATATTTCAGAGCAAAGAAGGAGTGAACAACAGCATTGGAGGAGTGGATAATGAGATACAGATGACATTAACCTGTACTGAGGAGAATTCTGGGAAAAATGCTGACAATATTTATGACTGTAAGCACGCTTTCTATTTTCCAGTGTTTGACAAATACATGACTATTTCTGGCTTTCAAATTGAAGAAACCATTGACCGTGAAACCTCTGGTGATTTGGAGAAGTTGCTTTTGGCAGTTGGTAATTACAGTCTTAACAGATCTAGAACTGGCCTTCTTTCATTTACTCCCAAGTCGTCTTAAATTGCAGTTGTTACAGGATTTGGCATGAAAACATGGCTCTATCTTAAGTTACTCACCTGGGGTCTATTTTTGTATTTAGAGAATAAGCTTTTACTCTTTATGAGATGGAAGCAAGGAAGGGAGATGGGGGAGAATTGGGGGTAGGAAAAAGTGAGAGCAGTGGTGTTGCTAACTGTGTTCTGTTCAGTAATGTGCAGAAATTGAGAAACCAGAAAGTAAGACAGAGCTCTGCCTTTGGTTAAATTCTTGGCATTCCACTTACAATGCCATAGTAGGTTTGTAACTGGGAGTAGAATTTGGCTAGTGGTATTTCTTTTCTATTATAACTTCTAGAACCCAAAGAGTTGTAGTAGAGGAACAGTCTAGCTAACTGTATGCATAATTGCCCACGCTGGAGAGAATAACACAGAAGTGCACAATTTGTCTTGCCAGTGAAAGATTGCCTTGTGGTTTAATAACAATCAGTAATTTAATCCTTTGCCCTTTTTCAGTGAAATGCATCCGAAGTGTGCCTGCCTATTTTGCTGAAACTTTGTATTATTCCATGAAAGTATGTATATATTTTTCCATATGTCACTTTTCCTCTCCCCTGGCTATTGTCCTCCTTTTTATTTGTTCATCATTTCTTTTTCACTGCAAATGCCAACAGGGTATCATTGTATCACTAAGCATCTACAAAAGGTTTGGGGTATGCAGATCTGGGACAGATCAATTCATATGCTGCTTTTTTTTTCCTTCTGAGATCCCAGTAAATTTCTCAGACCACAAGTATTTTACAGAAAACATCAGCCTCATCAGCAGCTTTTGGACTTGATCTTGTTATAATGGAAAATGTCTGGCTAGATTCACTGAGCACCTTTGTCTAAATAAAGACTTCATTGCCTTTATTTAAGTGGTGGATATATTTAGGAAGTAAATGTGACCAAAGCTGAACTGTCACTTGTGCAGATCTATTGGTCTTTGCTTTGGACGTGAGTGTTTAGAGACTAAAGGTGCAGTAACTTCGAAACACAAACATAATGACTGTCCTATTTTGAAAAGAAAAATGAACTTGTAAGGGAAAAACAAAAGCTATCTAAACAGCTATAAAAGCTTTAGCAGGGGAACCCCGTCAGTCACACAGCTATGTTTTTCTTTGCCTCACCTTATCCTAGCTAGAAAGAGATAAGCAGGGAATCTGTATTACTAATGTAAGTTGGACAATAGTAATTAAACCCTAGGAAAGGTGAAGTTGGTGATCTTTTGTTTTCAAGCATGTTATCAGCTTCCCTGAAGAAATCCTTCCTTCCCCTTGCTGAAAAGCACTGAAGTGTGTTTGTTACAAATGGTTGTGGCTGTCAGGTGTCAACATGAGAATTAATGAAAACAGAACAAACGGTAGCTTAATTTTTAAAAGCTGCTTTACTGCTTTTACCACCATCAGCATAAAACAATGTTTAGATAGAAAATACGGCATATGCTAACAATATGCTGATTACTTTTACTTATTTGTCTATTTACTATTATTATTTTTTTTTTCAAGGAATGCAGTAGGAAATTTTTTTTTTTCCTATGGGTTTAATAATCTTTTTAATTTCTATGATGCAATGCTTTACTAAAGGCTATGGATGAGATCCCAGAGAGATATATATAAATAAAATGGTTAACCTCTTCCCATAAGAAAGAACTTCATCGTTAGTAAATTTGGCAGAAGAATCTATAATTGTAGTTCAGCAGTTTGATATGACAAAGTTCTACAATGTCTGCTTTCACGATAAGGTGGGGCAGAGCCTAGCTTTTACCAGATTTTACTATCAAATCCTACTCAGAAACAACTGGACTCATGACATAACTTCTGAGCAGCTTTAGGGCACTTTTAGATGTAAACCAAGAATGTTACACCCAGTCGAAGGATTGAGTGGCCCTGGACATTAGGCTGAAGATGATCGTGGGGACTCTGCCAAGTCCTTCCTTGAGGTGCACTAGCAGGTCAGCATGTGACAATCTGTATTGCTTCAGCTTGCGTGCAGTCTGACATGTCTGAGCAGAAGGGGTCAGGATGTTGGTCTGGCAGTGCTTGCTAGTGCAGAAACTTAAAATATTTAAAGCTAGAAGAATAAAAGAGATGCATGGTTGGGAAAGGCACAGGAAGTTTGCCTTCTAATAAACAGCTGGATAACTTGTGGAATGGATTGGTCTGCCTGTGCTTGCTGTACAGTGTTAAATGCTTCCATTTAGTATTGTTGAGATTTATGTACCCACTTCCAGAACTCACTGTAGGTCTGCAGTGACCTGTGACTTCACTGAAAAGATGATTTCTGTGTGATTCTGGTTGTAGTGATCAGACGTACTACTGTGTAATCTTGGAGCTGGAGGGTTTAAAATTTATCTGGGCATTCACAGTTGGAGTCTGTGAAGATGGAACACAAAATAAGAGGGCTGACCATATTGCATTTCACAGATTTCTGGGGCTTAGAGCACCTCGCGTTGCTGGTCCTCTGTTCTACACACTGCAGTGTGGATGTCTTGTGCTACTGTCCCATAAATCCTGTTTTGGTATAGAAATGTAATGCAGGAGTGTTTTGAGATACCACTTGTTTTTTTGTTGTTTTACTACAGTATTTCTCTAGAACAAATGTATAGTGTAATATTTGAATTCTTCTCTTTAGGGGGCTGGCACTGATGATGATACCCTGATCAGAGTCATGGTTTCAAGAAGTGAAATTGATCTGTTGGATATTAGACATGAATTCAGAAAGAATTTTGCGAAATCGTTGCATCAGATGATTCAGGTAAAACCACTGTTTTGTTGTCAGGAGAAGCAGGGGTACTTAAGAAGTAACTGTTTCCACTGTAAATGAGAGGGAAGCAGTAATGCAGAACAGCATAGGGCACTCTGAGGGCAGCAGTGGTTGGCCTGCAATTCTGTGAAGTACCAAACAGCATCATTTAAGTGGGAAGCATTTCTTATGAAAAGCTAAGCTGTTTGGTTTTCTTTTCATTTTTTTTTTCCCTCAGTGTTCACTAGGAGAATAGACGTGGTCTTCCCTAATTACAATTTTACAATTACAAAATTACAATTGCTCATTTTTTCCCCCACTTTTAGTTACTGCATTTCCTCCTCCTTCTCTGAGTTCCTTCTGCTTTTAAGTGCTTTAGAAAGGATGCTGGCTCCAGAGGAATAGCACAGGGGGGTGAAGAGGAAATCTATGATTGAGATGTGGAACCATTAGCACCACTCAAAAGTAGGAAAAAATCTCACAGTGGAATCACTGTCTGTGTCAAAATCTCCTCTGAGTGGATGTGAAGGAGTAGAAAGTGTAGGAGCAAGCAGGAAATCCAGAGCCAGCCGTGGGAGGATTGTCATGGATTTGCTGCAAAGTTAGATCCCGAATGCTTTTTTTCCTAGTAATGTTTTGGGGAATATTTTAAATGCTCTTGCCAATCGTTAGGTGCTGCTCCATCAATTAGGCTGGGTTACAACATAGAGGCTGTTGCTTTTGGTGCTGCTTCCAGATTCTTCTTTGTTTGCAGTTGAATGCTTTCTAACATGCAGTAGGTAGCTCAGTTCTACTAAAAGTTTCAGGGGTATTTATTGTTTCTGAACTTCTTTCTCTGTAAATATAACTCTGACAAAAGAGGCAGAGAATTTCCTTCTGCTGTTCCCAAGTGGGGAGTCATCCACTGATTGGATTTCCCGTGGATGGGACAAGTGTGTAATCTGTTTAGTCTTTCCTTGGCAGCTGCTTTTCCTTGCATTTCTGTGGCTATGACTCATGGTGACTGGTTTGTTGTATTAACAGAAAGATACGTCTGGGGACTACAGGAAGGCACTCCTGCTCCTCTGTGGTGGAGATGATGAGTAATGGTGGCAGAAACATGAAGGATTTCTTGTGCTCCAGCTTTGCAGCCCTTTAGTTAGCATGCCTAGCTAAGATTTTGCATCTTAATGCTTTATGGCTGTTTGAATTTATATTCGTATCGCACTTATTAAAAACAAACATGTTACTACCCAGCTGATAAACAGTCTCTCTTCCTTAGACATCCCAACCTCTGGGAATTTCAAGTGCCTTCTGAGTGTATGCGAAAGTCTTCTTCATGGAAGATGAGTACTGAACACAGAACCCAGTTATTTGCAAGTGTTTTGCTGAAACATAGAGAAAAAAAAAATCATGTATTTCCACTAATAATGTATTTCCATTAATAATTTAAAGACTTTTTTTTTTGCTTTTATTCCTTAAATTTCCACTGAATCTTAAACTAGTTCTAACACTGCAAATGAAGAGAAGATATCCTTTGTATGTAATATCTGAATGAATTTGTAGAACATAATGCAAGCAGTCATTGGAAATCTAAAGAATCAATAAATTTTTTCCCTCTTGGCACTGTTGTATGTGGTTTTCAATGGGCAAAGATTCATTTTCATTTAATTCCACTGCTTGAAAGAGTTGGTGAATTTTTCCTACTAGTTTGCAGGTTTGTAAGGATATATAATGCTTTCCAGCTGCACGTCATGATTTTCAGCCTAGTAGCAGGCAGTATATTGTTGCTGTGGTGATGCTGCTATTTGGTATAACTGCAATACCAAATTATTGATACCTACTGAGCACTGCATTCTCATTTTGTGCTTCTTTCTTTTCTTGTTTTCTTTTCCTCCAAAGCTGAGAAAGGAGGAGAGCTGTTAGCATCAGTGCCAGAGTACAGCTGATACGCTGCACTTACATGTAGGATGAGTTGAAGATTTCTGGGATAGGCTCAGTGAAGAAGATGGGAGGAAAGTGGTCTGTACTTCAGGGATCTTGCATGAAAAAGGGATGTTGCAGCACCATGCTCTCATCAGGTTAGCAGGGAGCAGAGCATAGTGTTAAAGAAACAGCGGTGCTATTTAAGCTGCCTTAAAATTGCTGTTTTCATTTACTGTTTATGAATGGCTCTGAAAATTAAATTGACATGTGTGAAGAAGAAGAATCAGGAGACTGTTTTGTGCATGATGAAGTCTAAACACCATGGTTCTAAACTTAGCTTATCAGTTAGTCACATACAACAGCTGGAGAATCTCCACATTTTAATAGTCCTGATGAAATTGATTCTTCGCAAATTTAACTTTTTAACTTCCATATTGAATAAATATGAAATTTGATGTTTGGGAAATTATAATGACGAATTATTACTGTTATATCTTGTTAATAAGCACTTGGTTAATCAAGTAAAATATGAAGAATTCTTTTAAGTAAATATGTTAACTAAGGCCTAATCCACTGTAAAACAGTTACTTTCTGTTCTCTTGCAAGCGTACACTCTCACTCAGTGTTCCACTCGCTCTGTCTCTATTTTGTCTATTTTTGGGGGGTCCAAATTTGATACTTACAGACTTAAAACCAACACAAATGATTTTCTCATGGGCAGTTAAGTGCTTCTTTCAATTCTTCCTGGAAGGTTTCCTGAATTTTCCCCGTCACTGCCTGTACGTGAGGATGGCAAGGGGTGTGGTTTGTATTGACGAGATGATCTTAGAGGTCTTTTCCAACTGTAATGATTCTATGATTCTGTCTCCACCATAGCTTAAACTGATGTATAATGCTGCTGCTGTAATCCTGTCCTGCCCTATTTGTCAGCCTGCATGTTCCTCTGACCCTGTGGTGAACTACTGCAGGGCCCCGGAATCCAGCCACAGAAATACAGCTGGAGGCAAATGGTTCAAAAGCATTTAAAATTCCATTTTGGATTGAGAAACAGAGTCTGAAAACTTGAGCTTTCTCAAAGAAGTGGAAAAACAGTTTATTGATTTATGTTTCCAGTATTTGCTACTTAACTTCCCTTTAGGAATACAAAATATAGATTGTTCAATACACTGCAATTGTAAGATAATCTTGAACTACAACCACCTGAGAATTAATTACTCTCTTTATGTCAATTGCTCATAAGAGCTGTGTTTGTTTTCGCCTCTACATCTTCTGATTTTGATTCATATAAATTTGTGTTCAGTTTCTGGCATGGTTATGAAGTGCTCAGAAGTTGATAGTCCTATCAATTTTTTAGTTATTGAAGAGCCAATTATCACATGAGTAGTAGAATCAAACCTCTTACTTATGGAATTCTATTTTAAAGCTGATTTAAGAAGTTGGATTTTGTTGTTTGTGCCTGAAAAGCCTACTGTTCCTCTTTCTTTATCTCTTCCCATCACAAAAAGGTTTTTCTTTTTTCATTGCAGTGTTGTGCTGTTGCATATGGTGTATTGGACAATTTTATGTGTATGGAATTTGCTATCTTATTCACTTGATTTTTTTCTTTCTTTTTTGTTGATGCATATAGAAATATTTTTCTTCGTGATAAATGTTGGTAAAAGAAATGGAGCTGTTTAATTTCTTGTTATAAATATACAAGTCATTTAGATAAAATATTCTGGTTGAATTCATCAAATAGAAATTAAAATAGCAAAAAGGACTTTTGCTGAGCATGGAGCTAGTTTTAAGAATTAAAAAATTTTGTGGGCCTATATCACCAAATCTCCCACTTTGGTGCTCTTCATGTCATCGCTTTTTCATCTTCTTGCTCCTTCATCTTTCCTTGCTGACCTGTCAGCTGGAAAGAAATGGTTTGACATTTACTCTGAAACTCATCTTGAGAGCAGTAATTTAAGAAGAAGGCAATGCTACAAGTGAAAGCCTAACTGATATCATTTTTTTCCACTCCCTGATTTAATGTAAAAGCATTTAGAAGTCACAGATCAGCAAAATACATTCAGACATTGTACTGAAGAGTGTGAATGATAACTTTTGCATTGTGTAGGTGTTTTGATCTCCTTTAGAAGGGCACCTTCACATCATTCAAAGCTGGTGCTTTGTTCCCATTCCCCTGACCTTTGAGGGAGGAGAGGTGGGGACCAGAAACAAGGCAACAGCTTTTGAACTCTACCTTGTTTTCAAGTCAGAGGATGATTGAATCTGAAGAAATGAGATTTCATCGGTCCTTAAGTAAGTCAAATACAGGTTTTTCTCCTGAAGCTGCTAATAGAAATGCTGACTTCAACATTTTTTTTTCTTCTTCTCAGGTATGTAATGAAGTCTCTCAGAAATGGGATGTATTCAGAGCTCGTGTTTTCCTTAATGTCATTGCTATGGCCAAAGCTATGCATTTGTCTACTCTTTAAATAAATTAATATCTGTTCATGGAAAATCTGTAGTTGGGTGCTCAGGTCAGACAGAACAGTCAGGCACTTACCTTCCTCCTTTTGGCATTCAGAGCGGGGTGAGGTGATTGGTGCAGAACACGCAGCTGCTCTGGGTTGCTTTCGTCAAAATCGGTGCCTTTCTCCTCTGAAATGAACAGTGGTGGTTTGGTTTAACCCGCAGCAGGCAGCTCAGCACCACCCAGCTGCTTGCCTATGTTCCTCAGTTAGTACTGGGGAAAGAACTGGAAAAAAGCAGGGGAGCTTGTGGGTTGAGACAGTAAAACAAAAGCTTTGCTGCTAAAGCAAAAGCTCCGTGTAAGCCCTGCTCAGCAACTGCTGAAACGTGAGGTGTTAGCATCAATTCTTTCCACCCCAAACCTGAAGCGCAGCACCATGCTGCTGGTAAGAAGACACTGAGCTCTATTCTAGCCCAAACAGGACATGTCTCCCAAGTTTTAAATGCAGGGGATGTGGAGAACCTCTTCAAAAAAAAGTGTGCTGAAACGTGTTGTTATTGAACAGAATCCAGAGCGGTGAACAGGTCGGTGGGATGTGACCAAAAAGCACTTTGGAGGTAACGTACCTGTCGAGCACTTGTAGTTCATTTCTACCGACGTTGCTTTCCCGGCTTCTACCGAAAGGCTTCACCTTCTGGGCTCAGTGATGCTGTTACTCGTGCTCGCTTCGGGCCGGCTCACGCAGCAGGTGCGGGCCGGGCCAGGCTGCAGCCGCTCCGTTGGTGCCGGGCACGGGGTGGTGCTGCTGCACAAGCGATGGCGGGAGGATAGCGGTGCTGTTTCTCGCCTGACTTACTGTGGCTTTTTTGGTTTCGTTTCGTTTGGGTTTTTGTGTTATTTGCTTGTTCGATTGTTCTGCGCGCCTTCCAGATTGCTTTCTCTGGTTTCCTCAACCTGAAGCGTCAGTTGGACAAAGCATTCCTGTTTGTTGTTGTTCCTCTGTTTCCTGAATGCTACAAGATGTTCTTGTTTTCAGTAGAAAATAGGCGTGCCATGGTGTTTCCTGATGAACAAATGATACATGAGAAATAGTAGCTGGATTTAGGTGTAACATAATTTTTGATGTTGAATGCTGACCTTCTGCAGTGTGAGCTAAACAAAACATCTGTTGCTCCTCCTCAGTCATCATCATGAGAAAAAAGAAAACTTTTGTTGAACTCATTCATTTTCAACTCATTGCTGTGCAGTGTTTTATATACACGCAGATTTCTGATTTCCGCTCCCTGAATTACTAACGTGTTTCATAGCTCTGTGGCATTCTTTTCTATCTTTCAAGCCTTGATGTAATTGCCCTGCTCTGTCTGTCAAAACTGAGACTTTTAAGGGTCTAACCATGAAATCATAGACTCATAGAACGGCCCGGGTTGAAAAGGACCACAATTATCATCTAGTTTCCACTCTCCTGCTATGTGCAGGGTCATCAACCACCAGACCAGGCTGCCCAGAGCCACATCCAGCCTGGCTTTGAATGCCTCCAGGGATGGGGCATCCACAACCTCCTTGGGCAGCCTGTTCCAGTGCTTCACCACTCTTTGTGAAAAACTTCCTCCTAGTATCTAACCTAAATCTCCCCTGTCTTAGTTTATAACCGTTCCGCCTTGTCCTATTGCTATCCACCCATGTAAACAGGTGTTCCTTCTCCTACTTATATGCTCCCTTCAAGTATGGGAAGACCACAATGAGGTCTCCCCGGAGCCTTCTCTTTTTCAATGCAAGATAACACAATATAATACAATATAATTAGAATTGGAGCTAATAAATCAAATATAATGAGAGAGTGTCTGAAAGCCAAAGGTCTTACTCTAATGCTGAGGCGAGATGTGAGGTCAGGATGAGCAGAAGGGAGGAATGCTAGGCTAAGCAACATAGGTTACATTTGTTTTTATTGTTCGTTCTTTCTTGCTACTATTGTTGTTCTGACCAGGGTTCTGTGGCTGCCCTGTGATCTTGCTGCTTCAGAAAATAAGATGGCTGAAAAGTGGGATTAGTGCTAAAAGTCAGGAAGACGTTTGTGTGGGAATTGTGACTTTAAATGCAAGAAGAGAAATAGCTGAGGTAAAAGAGACGTGATCATATTAAAACCTCAGACTGACTTTGGATTTCTAAATCCAAATGGGTAACAATGTTGGAATTAGTGAAATAGGGAAGCGATTTGGATTCTGGCAGGTTTGAGAAAGTTTTAATTGTGTGTATG